GCATGGAGTGCTGATTCCAATTCTACCACTAATATCTGCACAGCTGCGGGTAATTAGTTATGAGCGCCTCTTTCCACTCAAAATTACACATGCGACTAGGGCAAAAACAGCTGTTGCGACCCTCACATCGCCTAATCAGATAGTGACAAACATAGGTAAATTTTAGTGCGAAAATGTACATCTAGGAGACCGTCTCTTATTTTTCTGAAGCGACTTCTCGCCGCAAAATCCACCCTTTTCGATCAGACTTGAATTGTTGCGTTAGTCAAGAGCTATGCTATTGTAGAACTATTGCGTTAGTCAATAGGCTATTGTACTACTTGAAAATCCCACCATCCAGTTGACCCGGACAATGCCGTTGAAATTGTGCAAGGAATGTCGCGAAGTAGCTGGGATGCTAGCTGATAAGACTGCTACTTTTAGTATTTTTGAATTTTGTAAGCGCCCATTACCAAGTTTGTAAGTTTGCTCCAGTGCATGATTTAGTCGGAAGAATGCAATCTGTTCGAAAGGGCCTTTTGGATGACGTGGACGGCTGAGTAGTGCAAGACCCACGGCACCCTCTACGACTTCCTACAAAAACTTCGTTGAATGATATGACTGGAACCACGAGTATGTACCTCAACCGTTCCCTTCTTCACAGCGAAGAGCTCTTTCTGATGGTCAGGGATGAAATCAGTATACACATTACCCTAAATGTAGGTGCTGATAGGTGGATGATGCAAGCGCTGTAAACTATACCTTCATAAATTCGGGATGCTTCAAAACAGTTCGCACAAAACCGATATTCGTAGGCAAACCACTGATCAACGTTCGAGACAATGCCGAATCTAGCTTTGCTGCGGCGCTAGCACGATCTTCTGCCCATACCACGACCTCAAAAATTGTATCATACAATTCACAGGTTTTAGCAATGACCAACTTGATACCTTGGCAATCATGGGATCGTAGTGAACAGAAACTTCATCTCCGGTAACAACACCGGTATCCACGCGAGCGTCATTTGGGAAGGATACGTAGTCAAGTTTACCTTAGAGTTGTGACCTGTGATTGCTCCAAAATGAAACCAAGAAAAGTTACCAGCAGTGGGCATAAATTTTCCTCCCTCAGTGTCTTCGGCATACACTCTGCACTCAAACGCATGTCCTTTCAGGGGTATCTGGTCCTGTCTCAAAGGCAATTTTTCGCCTTGGGCGATCTTCAACTGCCATTCCACAAGGTCAGTACCTGGAAAGACCAACGATGCTCAAAAAATATTCCGGTAATCATCAAAAATGGAGATACTAACCAGTGATAGCTTCCGTAATTGGGTGTTCCACTTGAAGACGAGTATTCATCTCCATGAAGTAAAAATCACCCTTCGGATCTAGGATGAACTCGACTGTACCGGCTCCCACATAGCCGACAGCAGCTGCGGCCCGCACAGCGGACTCTCCCAGTCGAACCCGCGTTTCCTGACCGGAAAAGAGAAGAGCATATTTTAGAAAATGAAAAAATTGCAAGTGATTGAAGGATTCAGCAAATCAAAAGTGCGAAAGGTTATTTGAAGCGCGTTTGAAGATAACAACAGAGGCCTAAAGTTGCCAGAAAAAGCTTCACTAGCAGTGGCGTACCGAGCGCCAAATTTTTAAACTCTGTGCATGAGTTGTAAAAATGTGCTAGTTACTTGTTCATACTTGTAAATGATTGAAATAATCTTTAAAACATTCAAAATATTCTCTTAGCGTTATAAAAGAATTTTTTCCGAAATTTCGGGGTTATAAGCCCGTGAAAATTCTGTAGAGCATACCAAAAAAATTCACGCCACGTACCTTCATCAAAAAAAACTTCTTA